AAAAAAAAAAAAAATGGCTTCCAAAATGCAAAGTGTATTTTAAGATGTGATACTAAGTCAACCATAAGGGGCATGATTGTAGAACTGATTGCCCTGTAAAGTCTTGCTAACCAGCTATGACAATACAGTTGGTAGAAATGCCAAAATTCTTAGCAAGAATTTTATGAAATCCGGTGTACATTTTAGTTTATTTGCAGGATTCCAAAACGTGTTAGGGTACCCTAAGCCCCAAAGATGTAATAAACAATCTTTCCCCTTCAAAGTCCGGTGGGAATTCAATCCTGCAGAGCCTCTAATGGGCGGTTTCAGGCACCCCACCTTTCTACCAGATGCTGGTAGTTTTGGTCCCTGCTTCAAATACATCGGTGGGTGATGATCCACTTGGAACATCAGTTGTCTGATAATAGCGAGTGCTGCCCACCTCAGTTACCATGTTTAACCACTTTGTACGGAAGTGAACTTTACAGGGTCACTTGTCCAAAACCGAGACATCTCCAGGTTTCCTACGGTTTTAACGGCCTGCGCTTTGGCAGTCCCGATCACCTTGAGTCGAGTTTAGTCGCTTCACAAGGCTGGGACTCAACGGAGCGGCGAGGCGGAAGCAGGTAGCCCTGGCAGAGAACCGGCGCATTGCCGCTCTTTCCCAACATGGCCGCCAGCCCCGCCCGGTTTCCGGCAGTCGGCGGTGATGGCGTCATCAGTGTGCGCTTGCAGACAGCCGCACCAAGGGGACTGCGGCGTAGTGTTGAACGATGTTGAGCCGGCTTCAGGAGCTGCGCAAGGAGGAGGAGACGTTGTTGCGGCTAAGAGCGGCCCTGCACGACCAGCTCAACCGCCTGAAGGTGACTCCGTGGCCCCCACCCATCCCTCCAGTGGGCCCGCGCGACCATCTTCCCCGAACCCAGGCCTACGGCACCCACCAGCTATAACTATTCTCTTCCTCATCTGGCCTTGGTGGCGGTGATCTACTGGTTTTCAAACAAATTCGTTCATTTTAAGCACCTGAGGAGTTTGCTTTGCGGTTATTAGGCCCCACCCCTCAGAGTCTTGATTCTACAGGTCTAGGCTGAGCCCCCCGAGTCTGTTTGACAAGTACAGTCCCATCCCACTCACTCCGCACTCCGGTAACTGCTGGTGCCCACAGGCCGCACACTGAGGAAGTGTCTGCTCCCAAAGCCTCTCCTAGACCTCTCTCCTGCCCACCGGCCGCTTCCTTCAGAGCCCCCTCTACTGTTTACTAGTGTGTATTGGTGTTTGAAATGTATGTAGTATTGCAGTTAGAAATGACTTGGATCTTCCCGCAGCACGAAAGACGACTCGTCCTGGGAATACGGACTTGTCCCAAAGTTTAAGAGGTTTTGGTTCTCTTCTGTTACAGATTCCAGAAGAGGAGTCGTGATTTAGGCCTACCAGGGCCACTCCCAGACCCTTGCTTAATTTGCCCCCTGTGAGATAATAATGATAGCCCCTCCTCAACATCCTTCTTCAGAATCTTTTAAGTTCATATGAGGATTACGAAAGCCTTTTGTAAACTAATGTTGTACAGAGTGAGATATCAAAATAATAAGCGTTTCCCATAAAGTCAGATAAGGGCCCACACCTACTTAATGTATGTCCCTCCATTGCCACAGTGCCCTGTAAGTATGGACTGACTGTGTGATGGTCATCTCCAAAGCCCGTATTTCCTTGCCTTCTTCCTTCCATCTCCATCTTCTGTTCTTGCTGCCTTTATGTTCTCATGACTGAGTAGGTAAGCTCAGGCCTAGGGAATCCAGCCCTCTGTAGTTAGATGATAGTACCTGTTTTCTTTAAATGCCACACTTGTATTTTCTCCCTGAACTATGAAAATACAATGCAGCATTAGGAAAGTTGAAAACCACTAGTGCAGAGGTTTGGGGGAGTGGAAGCCATGGCTTGCTCAAAACACCTGTACAGCCTAGAGAAAACGGACTGGAATCTTCGTTCATCTCCTTAAAAGGCAGAGAGAGCTTCAGCAGTATACCCACAGCAGTAGCCCAGTGAAATAGTAAGGACAGCATCCTCAACTCTTCTTTTCTAGGTTGAAGAACTGGCCCTGCAATCAATGATTAACTCAAGAAAAGGAGATGAGATGGTGTCTTCTCAACCTGCACCTGAACAGTCACATGATGTAAGCTTAACAAAGTGCAGGACTAGGGAAAGAATGCAGTCTTTTCTGCTTCCATGGTGCTTGGGTGGTCAAAAATTATTATAAATCACATTACCTAGCTAACCCAAAGGACTCTGGGAAGTGCTGGGTTTTCTAGTTTAATAAGCTGGCTACTCTATTAGCCAGGGAAGAGCCCACATCTCTATCAGCTAGTTATATTTTGATTAATTTATTACACAGTTACTAATACACTGCCTGTACCCTTCTAGTCATCCATTCTCTAGTTACTCAGATCAACCCAGGAGAATGTGGAGTTTTTTGTAGGGATATGTCAAAACCCTTGCTAATTTGTGAATTCAAATAATCTTGGGACTAGGGGGAAAGATGTGTTTTCAACTACAAAGCACAGTGCTAAAGCTGAGTTCCAATCTTCATCATACCTATCTCTTACCAAATGCCTTCAACTCAGTATTATACCAGTTTCCCCAGCTACTCAGGAGGATCACTTGAGGCCAGGCATTGAAGACCATTCCAGGCAATATACCAAGACCCTATCTTTTAAAAAAAATAAATTAGCCAGGCATGGTGGCACCCATCTATAGTCCCACTTAAGCCCAAGAGTCCAAAACCATCCTGGGTGACATAGCCAGACACCATCTCAAAAAAAAAAAAAAAAAACCATTAAGACATTAACTTGTGTCTTAAGTTGACACAATTCTTATCTCAGATCTTTCTACGTGAATGTTTGTAAATCAGATAACATTCTGGTAAATCTGGCACATTTATTCTTCCCCCATTTGGCAACAGGGATAGGGGTAGAATTTGGAGAAACAGGAAAGTGCTCTTACTACTTCATCATAAATATTGAGGATGGACATGCAATTGAGATTTGATTTTAAAACATTTTTAAGGATTTGCTGTTTTGAGGTAGGTATCCTTCCTACTAATTTATAATGTCCTTGGCTAATGCAGACACTGATGCATGTAGACAATGAAGCAACAATCAACCAAACTGCACTGGAGTTGAGCACAAGGAGCTGTGTGACAGAAGAGGAAGAGGAGGAGGAAGAGGAATCAGATTCCTAAAGAGCAAAAACAGCAAAGGTTAGTTACACAAATTAAATTTCTAAGTCTCAGGCTCTTTCTCTCGAAAGAAATTATTTGCCATGGGCACTGTGGTCTGCTTGATAGGAAACAAAAACTATAGGAGAGGCTTGGCACCTATAGCTCAGTGAGCCACCTACACCAAGGCTGGTGGGTTTGAGCCTGGCCCAGGCCTGCTAAACAACAATGACAACTGAAACCAAAAAACAGCTGGGCATTGTGGCAGGCGCCTGTAGTCCCAACTACACAGAAGGCTGAGGCAAGAGAATCCACTAAAGCCCAAGAGTTTTAGGTTGCTGTGAGCTATGATATGATGGCACTCTACCGAGGGCAAAAGCCTGAGACTCGGTCTCAAAAAAAAAAACTATAGGAGGGCGGCGCCTGTGGCTCAAAGGAGTAGGGCACCGGCCCCATATGCCAGAGGTGGTGGGTTCAAATCCAGCCCCAGCCTAAAACTACAAAAAAAAAAAGTGAAAAAAAAAAAAAAAACTATACAAGAATGTATGATTGTAAAAATGATTCTATCATAAACAAGCTTCAGAATGTTGTGACATAGAAAATCAAAAATGCAGTGTGTTAGCACTGAGCAATATGGGAAGTGCTTTGTAATCTGGTCAGATTCAGTAATTGTATTCAAAACAGAATTTCTTCTGGAATATTATTGAGAAAGTCTGGCATTTGCAAAAAGGGCAGAGTTTAAAATATAAGCCAGTCTTTCTAGTCAACAATGCCTCTTTTTAAAAAAAACCAGTTAAAGTCTGTTTGCATGCAACTGAACCCTTGTAAGCAGTTAGGCCATAGTTTAGGAGAGAAAGATGACAAGGGGAAAGAGGGAATGCCATTTGAAAGTACAAGCTATTGCCACCGCCCACAGGCATTGCAACACCCTGCCTATTATAAATTGTTTAGTGTGGCTGTTAGTACATCTCACTTGAGACATCACTGGTAAAATGTACTTATAAATAAATTACAGATAAATAACTGTTGTGGAGCTTGGTGGCTTCCAGTTACCAAGGGAGAAAAGAACCAGTTCCTCTTATGAGGCAAATATACAGTAGGATGGCTTAAAACCCATTTGTGGCCCTTAGGAAATGTGCCATGCTTGGGTCTTGGTATTTGAAATTGACAGTCATTTCTGTGTACTGTTCTTTTTCCAGTGAATATAGAAAAGCCAAGCAAAACACAAAAAAGCCTTCTCAATTTATATAACTGTTCCAGAAGAAAACAGATACATTTTTTGTTAATCAATTAAAACTTTTATTAAATGTTTTTTTAGCTACTCTTATAGGAAATAGCCAGAAGTTTAAATGAGTGTGATCTTTAGAACACACAATATGAAGAGTTTTGGAACAAAAAGCATCAAGGTATACATTTGGGGGTTGTAATTTAAAATGTAAGCATGAAGGTTTTTTTGTTTTTATTTTAGAGACAGAGTCTCACTTTGTTGCCCTAGGTAGAGTGCCATGGCGTCACAGCTCACAGCAATCTCCAGCTCTTAGGCTTAGGCGATTCTCTTGCCTTAGCCTCTGGAGTGGCTGGGACTACAGGCACCTGCCACAACACCCGGCTATTTTTTTTGTTGCAGTTTGGCCTGGGCTGTGTTTGAACCCGCCACCCTCAGTATCTGGGGCCAGTGTCCTACTCACTGAGCCACAGGCACGGCCCAAGCATGAATTCTAAGAACTGGAAAAGCTGGGTATGAATTCTTTTTTTTTTTTTTTTTTTTGAGACGGAGCCTCAAGCTATCCTCCTGGGTAGAGTGCCATGGCATCACAGCTCACAGCAACCTCCAACTCCTGCGCTCAAGCGAGTCTCCTGCCTCAGCCTCCCAAGTAGCTGGGACTACAGGTGCCCGCCACAAGGCCTGGCCATTTTTTGGTTGCAGCCATCATTGTTGTTTGGCGGGCCCGGGCTGGGGATTCGAACCCGCCACCTTGGGTGTATGTGGCTGGCGCCTTAGCCGCTTGAGCCACAGGCGCCGAGCCAGCTGGGTATGAATTCTAGCTCTGTAACTGAAGGCTTGCCCTCTCCACTCTGCAGTTCTCTTTCCCATCTGTAAAATGAGGATATTCATATCTGCACTAGCAGTTTCACAGGTTATAAGGTGCTAATGAGGTATTTAAAAATCCAGCTATTATTGGTGTAAGAGAAGTTTGAGGAAGGGATTTGGCATGGGGAACTAAAAGCACTGGAAGACTGATACAAGGGCTACCTTTCCTGAAAACAAGACTATTCTTCATAGAAAATAACTGGAAAAAATCCTTTGACTCAAAAAATGCAGTACCTTTGCATATGAACTGAAAATTTAAAACACTCCTTTAAAAAATACTAAGTGTTGAGATCTAGGTTTTAGACATCTGGTCATACTGTATTACTTTTTCTAGGATACAGGTTGCTTATTTCAAGGAGACATTCTCAGTAGTGGTGGCATCCTCTCTTTTAGTAAAAGACATAGGATATGAGTCTTAAAACTTAGCTTGAATGTTGGAAACATACAAGGTCACCTGTTGACTTTAGAACAGCTGTTGGCCTCACTGTAAGAGAAAAAAATGATTAGGTAGGCTCAGGGCCCATAGTACTGTGGTTACAGCATCAGCCACATGCACCGAGGCTGGCTGGTTCAAACCCAGCCTGGGCCAGCTAAACGACAACTGCAACAACAACAACAAATAGCTGGCTGTTGTGGCAGGCATCTGTAGTCCCAGGTACTTGGGAGGTGGAGGCAAGAGAATCACTTAAGCCCAAGAGTTTGAGGTTGCTGTCAGCTGTGAGGCCATGGCACTCTACCAAGGGTAACATAGTAAAACTCTGTCTCAAAAAAAAGCAATTAGCTAGTTTAGGCAGCAGCACATACACTTATAACACTGACCAGTTTTCAGAATCCTGGTTATTTCCTAAGCTCTGATAGTTGTTAGAATGGAACGACTTACTCAGGAGATTATTATACCCAAGGTGTTTTTAATCTAAAAATTAAATAGGCCTTTTATTTTTAAATACATTCATTGGTTTTGGTTTTCTATAACCTACTTTTTCAAAGAAGAAAATAAAGGGAGACCAGGTAACCTCACAACCTAACCTCTAAAGTTTCAAGAGTCCATTTTCAAAGAAGGAAGGGCACCAATGGGGACATGGCTTTGTTTTCACTCCCACCTCAGAGGCATAGCAAAGCCAACCAGGAAGGTGTGGTTAAGTGTAAGCGGTGAAAGAGGGGAAAATTGCTGCTCGGTGTAGCAGAGGAGACTGTCTCATCTCAGGCGGAGGTTTCACCACCAGCAAGGCCCTCCAATGAACATGGTGGCCTGGAACTGCAGGCAAGCCCCCAGCTCAGCTGTGTTGTAGAAAATGAGAAATGTTACATGATTTTTCTCAGATTGGCTCCCAAGTTCCTTCTGCTGCTTTTCCCTTGTATAAAGAGAAGGAAAAAATAGACAGGATCTGTTCTCTAGTCCACAGGAAGGTGGTTGGAATAGTCAGTCACAGATAAAGGTATTGGGTGAAAAGAGTTGGAACATGTCCAAAAATTGATATTATAGGAAGCCCCATTAGTCCAAAGCACCAGCCTTTTCACCTAGGATGATGCTTGGTCAAATCATTTGTTTTCTTATGTACTAGAGGAATCAAAAAGCCTACTGCGAAAGTAGAAAGACCTTTCATTATTTTTTAACTTCATAGTATATTTATTAGAATAAGAGATTAGATTTGTTAAACATCTGGATTAAAATGGTTAAAAGAATTTTCATACAATTTTTAGGCACTATACACGTTTACAATAGCATTGGTATTTGGATATGGGTAAAGATAAATCTGACACATTTTAATGCCTTGATTGCTTGGTGACATTCAAAACAATTCCACCATTTTAGAAACACTAACCAAAACTTAAAGAGACATACCACTAATATCCCACGAAGTGTATTTAAAAATAAATATAGAAATATAACCAGAAGTCTACAAATCATCACAGTAGACCGACTGGTAAAGCCCCAGCTATCATGGCAGTGAAGGGCTCTGGCTAGATTTTGATGGAAACTGCTGAATTCTATATCAAAAGCAAAAATAATAATAAAATAACATGATGTACACTTTCTGATGCTCATTTTCATAGCAGCAAAGCATGCTTCACATGCACTGCCTTTGAAGGACCTCACAAGGCTCCCTCCTACTCACACAGAGAGAAAGTATGCCTGGCAAGAGTGAAGTGCCACCAGGTGTCCAAGAATCCCAAAGATAAAGGTGGCCAGCCAGTCACAGAATGGGAACAGCAGTGCAATTGTAAGAATGACTACCCACAGTCACCAAAATTTCACTGTAATTCAGCCTGGCACATGTTTTGATCATCATCAAACACAGAAATAGCCCCAAGCACAAAGCCAATTCACTTAGGGGGATAACAATAGTAATTAGAATAAAGACAGTAATATTAAAAATGACACAAGTTGAATTTTGGCACATGCTGTGTTTTCATCCTTTGTCATAGGTGAAATGCACGTCTTAACAGAGACAGGCATGGGAAAGAGGCCTAAAAGCAACGTGGCACACCACTGGGCAGGGGACTCCCTCTTTGCTGCTTCTCAATCGCTTAGACACCTGCCGCGTGGGTTGGCGTGCTGGGCTGGTTAAGGCCAATGGTGGAACACAGCCAGCCTGCAAAATCTACTTCCTCAGCATCAGATCTCTTGATAAAAGCATGAACCTGCATGCAAGGAAACAGAGAGGAAGTGGTGTTAAAAATCCAGCAAGAAGGAAAATACAAGAGCCTTGGATCAAGAGTTTGTGCTCCCCTTGGAAGGAGCTCCTGGCACCTGCCCTTGAGTATCACTGGGGCCAGAAAAGCACAACAGCTACAACCCCCAAAGACTTGCTGTACCAGCTACAACAGCTGTGAGGCCTTGAGCAAATTGCTCAGTTCTCTGAACCTGCTCTATGGGGATAGAAACCTTGTCTTTGATGCTTCACAGGCTTGTCAGAAGGGACAAAGCAAACAGTGGATTTAAATGCATGTTACACACTGTACAGGCTAAGGCACATAAGTCCAGATACTTACAGTAACTTTCCCCCTCCTCCCACCGCCCAACTAGAGTGGGCAGGCGGAGAGTAACTTAGGAAGGTGCTGAATGAGGTGAATCAGTCCATATTAGTAAAAGGCTCCTACTCATGTAGCCTGGCCATTTCTTTCCCCTGACTCCCTCAGAGTCTTCCTCCCAAGTGCACACACTCAGGTTGCAGGGTTATCCCAGCTTTCTCTTTAAACTGATGGGAGGATAGAGGAATCTAATGTGTGGTATTCTGCTGCCCCAGGCTCAGCTGGACCACAGTGGGCAGGGTAGGGAATGGGCTCCGGAAGTACTAGACAAATGGCTGACATGAGAATAAATTAATAAGGCACTGTTAAGAATCTGAAATAAATGTACTTACCATGAGTTGCTTCAAATCTGCTCTCTCCGCAGGGTTTTTTATTAAGCTTCAAGGAAGAAAGATAATGTAAGAGCTATTGCCTAGTACCAGTTCTAACTCAAATTACTTCTGTTTACATGTCAGTCTTCCCTATATACTATAGGCTCTGAGAAAAGGTGGCTTATCTTCCTGTGCTGAGCATGATGTTAATGCCCACAGTAAGTTAATACATTTCTTGCTGAATTAAACTAAGGTCTAAAAGCAATATACCAGTTCTTACAGAGCACATGCTGAAAGCAGCAGTTGTTTTATCCACTGCTATAACTAGACACATACGTCTTGGCACTCTGCAAGAAGAGCTTATAGAAGGGGAAAGCTGTGCCCAGAAGAGGCAAAGCTGGTGCTTCCAGAGATGGGGTGGGGAACCTCACAAAGACTTACCATTTATTCACAAAATCTTGAAATTCCAGACTGAATACTCCACTGGGCAATTTTGGAGGAGGCTGCAAACATAAGTCAAGACATGAGACGTGCCTAGTTCTGTACTCCATCCATCTCTCCCCATCCCACCCTGTACCTTTGGACAGTGCTGCCCTATCCAATCACAGAAAGGCAGTGGTGGAGGCCAGCAGCTGCCTACTGGCTCACCGTGTTGGTCTCACATAGCACAGAATTAGGACCAAGTCAAGTGTAGAGGTCTACCACTCTTGTCTCTGCTCCTCTTTGAGCCCTATGCACTCTTCTATGAAATGAAGAAGTTGGGGCCAATGATCTCTGGGACCCTTTCTCGAGGTCTGATTCTCTACAATGTCTGGGGGTAAGACATGGAAATGTAACCAGCAATACTTGGAGCAGCAGCTAGGGGGGACTGTAAACCCACCAGACACAGGCTAGGCCTCACAGCACCTGTTAACGCCAGAAAGAAAGAGGGGGAAAAAAAACCTATTCTGAGCCCTGGAAAGGCATAGAAAGGTTAATAAAACATTGGCTGGCAGAGGAGGGCTTGGTTTAGAAAAATGTTAACCCGTACGGCTCTAGGAATGAGTCTGTTTTCAGGCATCAGAACACTGGCAACAGCTCTCTCCCCCATGATAATCACGCAGCACCAAGGCCCTGGTGCTTCACACACTCCATGAGGCTGCTTATGTGACCTATACTGAGAGTTATATGTAGAAGCTGACCCACAGACACATTGTCCAAGATGCCACTCCTCTGATATAAAGCCCAAAATCAACAGGGGATTCAACACTGATACCACCTACCAAAAAGCCCAGACTTCTTCCCTGAAGGCCTTGTCAGCCTAATCTGAGGTCAAAGACTAGATCCGAGCTCCCAGGAACTGGGCCAGGGCAAACCCCACCCCGTAGACTGTCCCTGCTGCTGGGGGGATGAAGGGAAGGTTCAGGAAGACAGAGGAGGCCAGCAGCTTGGCCTCCAGAGACAGTATCCATCCTCCCTAAGCAGGAGGGAGCCAGACAAGGGTGAGAGGTGTGAAGGACGAGGGCCTACATTTCATTTGGAGCCTCAATTTCCTCACCTCAGCATTGCTTGGGAGAACAGAGTAGGAAAATGATTATGAAAATTTGGAAGAAAAGTTGTGCACACGAGGAGACTTGTAACTGCATATCATAACCCCAGACATCCTTTCCCTTAATATGACTCCTACACAGAACCATGACCATAGTTCCCAGTAGATGATGGATGGCTTTTTCCTGACTTTGCAAATACAACATGCTTTGTATGGTGCTTTGTATAAAGCTGTATAGTAAGTCAGTGAAGAAAGGTAAATTAAACTCCTCAGTAGACTATGGACCAATGACACTGGTCATAAGTTAATTTCTGCGGTGAACCAGGATCTTCCCCCATTGAGTTTGTAAATGGACAAGGGGATCTTTTTGAGCCTTTTGGGATCTAGTCTTAGAGAATAGTACATACAAGAAGTTACTCCACTGATGTCTTAAGGCAGAAAGTAATAGACCAATACCCTTTATCTTAAACCTCAGCCAACTGGGGACCTCCCAAATATACCAGAACTTGTCCCTTCTCTTCAAATGTTAAACCTGGGCACCTGTAGCTCAAGTGGCTAAGGTGCCAGCCACATACGCCAGAGCTGGCGGGTTCGAATCCAGCCTGGGCCTGCCAAACAATAATGACAACTACTACCAAAAAAAAAAATAGCCTGGCGTTGTGGTGGGCGCCT